GCGGGCGATCGCCGCGCTGAGCCGGCACCGAGTCGTCACATCGAGTTAGCATCAACACTTCTGATCGGAGTGGCGCAACGCTGGCTCGACTCCTCATCGGTTCCGTAAATAGGCCTCTCAGCTCATGGTGCATGGACCACTTGCTATTTGTTCACAGCTTCCTATTTGTACACCAGAGGCCGGCAACGCCGACATCTTGTCTTGGGAGTTTTCTGCGTGTCTGATGAACCCGGAGCAAAGCCGCCTGCTACTCGGCTGTGTCCAAGTGTCACGGTCGATCGTCGACTGGGGACAGGCCCTGTTCCGGCCTCCATAACAGCTGGTCGCTGGGCTGTTAAACTTCTCCCCAGGTGTTGGTATCTGGGAGCATGCTGTCTAACGACTCGGGAATAGAGGTACAGGTGCTCAAATGGTAGAGGCGGAGGCTCGGAGGCTCGTCCAGTCGTAACTCGTAGCCAGATTTTCGTTCAGTGGTGCTGGCCAGTGAAAATAGAGATACTCTGGCTCGCACGTCCGCTGCACTGGGTGCTGCAGCTAATGTAGAATAGTGGGCAGTACGTGGGCGTTTTACGCCAACATGTCCATTTGCCGGTATTGCAGCAATATTGCGCGTGCTTCGCTGTCATCAATCCAGGATTTGTGCGACAAACCCATAGATACGTGCTGGCTGGCTGGTGACCGCATGGACATTTATTTAAATAATGGCATTTCAGTGATTACAAGGCAATAACTTGAAATCACCGGACAGTCCTACATTTGCTACTGATTTTGTCCATTGTGTATTTGTGAATTTGTCATTGCGGACAGGTACTTACCTATAAAGATGGCTGAAGTCCAACTATGATCAAATCAGGGGGTCATTTTTGCTCGAAGGAGGTCACATTGCACGAGCTTGAAGGCAAAAATATTTGCAATGGGCTACTGACGTATCTATCCCCTCTGCCGGTAGCGCCTTTCTGTCAGGGGTATGATAAACTGGGAGGGGCGGGGGCGGGGCGCGCCACGCCGACACCATGTGACGGGCGCCCGGCCCTCCCCTCCCCTCCCTCCTCCCGTCCCTGGCAGCCGGCGCGACGGGTGTGGGACGCGCTGGCGCTGGACTGCGCAGGCGCGACCTCTATAGCACGTGACACTGGCTCCGCGGACCGGCGTGATGCCGAACTAAACAGGCCCTGCACTGCGGGCAAGGCGTAGGTGGCTCTGGGAGGGGAGGGGAGGGGCTGGTCCGGAATGGCCCACGTGACCGCGAACAGATGGATGGCGAGAGGTGATTCCTCTGCCCGCTCTGATCGTCTATTCGTGGCCTGTAACAAGATTAGGCTAGAACTCATCCGTCCCCTTGGTCTGAGAAGTCGAGAAATGCGATCCTGAAAGGTCTAAGAAATCACTCGCTATGAGATAACCCTTCCCTCGGAATCACTGATTTATTGGCCGGACTCTGAACTGTTTAACCCGCTCGCTAAAACATCCAATCCGTCAGCCAGTCCGTATATTTTCTCTCCGTCTCCCGGGCCAGTTGCTCGAATCGCGTTCAAACTGCCTGACATCATAGCTCCATGTGCACGGCTCTGATCAGCCCGCACTGAAAACAAAATGACACAAAAAACGACTAAAAACGCACAGGCAGAGCGTGTTAACTAGGCTTTCTTGAGTACCCTGCATCATGCATTTTTTGACCCGTCGCAGACGTGTCAATTTACAAATGTGTTAACCCAGTCGTGTTGTGTCCTTAAACACAATATCATTGTGCCTTCAACACATAAGGCTTGTGTGAATACATTTGCAGAATAAAAGGTAAATGTGTTACTAAATTTAACACAAATCGCAAGTGAAAGAAGGAAACACGTGGTGATTATGTAGTTTGTTGCCGGGGCGCAGTTGAAGGGACTTTCGCTTGGGTTGGACAGGCTGACCGCCAAAGCCGGGCTCCGAGTGGAATCGGGCGCTCGGGTGCGGTCAGGGCTGAGCACCCGGCCGGCCGACCCATACGGTCAGGGCGCGGTCAGGGCTGAGCACGCGGCCGGCCGACCCATACGAGGTCGCCGACCCATACACGAGCTGGAGTTGCGCCCGGTCGGCCATCTCAGAGCCGAAGGGTGAACGCGTCACGTGGACAGCTCAATTAGAGCGCCAAGTGATGTTGCCCCAAATTGGTGGACTACTGTACAATACAGTTGTCCAGTCATCCGGGATAAATTTACGGCCACCGATTTTTCAAATATATCCTATATAGACTGAGGAGTTTCTTCCTCCAAGCAGACGTTGATTAGCTATGCTTCAGCTTGCCCTTGATGTAATCAGCGCATATTGCTCTAAACAATTTATCATGTATCGACTCCCTCGGCTGTATTGTGCATTTTTACCTTTCTCAAAACACTTTGGCAAATTTTTACAAAAACCCAGCATAAAAGTCGGTGCTCGAAAAACGCCCTCTATTATCCCCATCTGAAGTTAAGGTTCAGAGGTCGCTCACTGGTGGATGACACGGTGTATTTGTGCAAGGGTACACGTCTACCATCCCCGACAACACATGATTTCGATACAGGCTGATGCATTACATTCGTCCAGCGTGCTTGGCACGAGAAAACTGTGTCATTTTTCTGTTTTATGTGTTATTAAACGTGTCGAAGGTCCCGCCAAGCGTGAAAATACTCAGCATTATTGTGTTTAGGGTGCGATTAACACATGACTGATGTGTTACCAGTACAGAACATGCCCTCACTGTGTCGATTTGTTTTCAGTGCGCACATGCCGAGCCAGTCAGATGTTAGGACATCACTCGGCGCTGGTGTCCTGTGACACATCCCACTCGTCACGGTCACATGTTATATCACGCCATTCGTCTGTCACGAGTCACACCGTCTTCTGCTACCTCGTGACGGTGCTGTCACAGTAGGGAAGGTAGGCTGGATGGTCTGTAAATAACGAGTATGCGGAGGACCCTGGAGGATCGATTTGTCGCTACTGCCCAAATGGCTCTGCAATCGACTCTCCGTGGCTGAGAAAGGCCGTTAAATTTGGGATCTGATGAGATAAGTGTCACAGTGCGGTTCAGTTCCTGTCGCGGTCAGTATTGATTGATTATTCAGTATAGTGTACCTATTGATTCTGTGCTGCCATTGACGAGAACAGACCAGATTAGAAGCGACCTCCGCCGCTGAAACGTGCTCAAGAGTCCAAGGTCTCGGAAGCTGGTCGCTTGGCTGACTATTAGTAATAGGTGTGCGGTCTCGTGTGTCGCCTTTAATTGCATCAGTTTTTCCGAAGGCTGCACTTTGTCAATGCTACGTATTTGAATGACCCATGATTGTTTTCAGATTTACCTTTTACTTTCTGACTTGCCCTATTTAATTTTTTCTTCAATTTTCCGACATTTTTCATAGAAGCTCTGATGACTTTTATACAGCAGTGGTGCAGTTTCTAGACCTACCTATAGCTCGAGCTCATTTTGCCATGTTCTAAACTGAGGCTCGCTCTGACTGGCCGTGGGCCGTGCACGAATCAATCACGGGTCATCCGGAGCTCACGCCAGTCGGCCCCATTGGTCGTCGGCGCCGGCTATCAAGGTCGGACCATTGCGGCCGGACGGTGACGTGGCCGGTCACGTGACCTGGGTGTCACTGCCAAGGTAAACTGGGCCCGGCGACCGGGGCGCCAGCGATGCTGTGTCAGGGAGGCAGCCACTTATGACGGATGACATGGCTCGGTCGTGTAGTTGCCGACCGCGCCGCCGAGATATCACAATTAGGACAGATATGTGTAGTTAGCTATGCAACTATGTGAAACATGGGAGTTAATGAAGACATGCTGTTGACCTTGGTTCTTGATCCACATTCTACACGTCAGTCGTGAAGTGGAATCTGACTTTTGAGATCGTCGAATGATATTGGTTGGTGCCATTCACTGTGCCTCGGAGTTCGGGCCGCTTGTTCTACTTGTTCTGAAATCCGAAGTGCGTGCAGGTTTTCCTTTGATCAGTAGCAATCTTTAAGTTACGGAATTGACTCCCAGTGGCTTCGCGGATGGTAAACGCAAGCCCATTATTCTCTCAGGTAAATCATGCATTCGCGACGCTGCTTTCTGGCTTCTGCTTTCTGGCTTTCTGGCTGCTTTCTGGCTCTAATTTTAGGTATATCCAGTATGGGCCCTAATGAAGTCTCCTGTTAAATTACGCTAATTTATATTGCTAATTATGTAGTTAATTTAGGCCTGAGAGTGACTCAATGAAACATGCCTCGCTTCTAGTGGCGTTTGGCTTTTATGGAGTGGGATTTTATTGAAACACTAATTTCATTTTAAAGAACTGTATTCTGGACACTTCATTTTCTCTCATACGGTTTGTGTGGTTTAAACGTTGCTGGCTCACACGAAGCTCATCTGCAGGCCATGCGGCTGCCGTTGCCATTGAATGGCCGATTTCATGAGCGTTCTGCGCCGATCAGCAGTTCGCTTCTGCCGCCCTGCAGGGCTGGCCGGCAAATTTTCAATATCTGCTCCCTTCGCCAGGCTGCGATAATTAAATGCGATAAGGGAAGGAAGTTGCGCAGGCAGGTCGCTTTTCGCTTATCCTGCGTGGGTTCATGGTCAATATGTGTGGACTGTGCAATCTGCTTGGATGTAGGTAGGTACGCATTGGTCGGTGTGGGTATGGATACGGATATTGGATATGGATTGGATTGGAATCAGTTTGGATATGAATGGATATTGGATATGGATTGAGCACATTACAATACTTCAATGCGTATGTGGAGCCTTAGGTACATGGATTTAGGACTCGTTTCTCAGTTAGGGTTGACCTTGCTTATATCCTTTGTGCCGCCCAGTCCAGTATCCCGGTCCTTTGAACCACCCAGTCCAGTACCCGGTCCTTTGAGTCACCCAGTCCAGTACCCGGTCCCGGCCGCCGGAGGCCGGCCCTCCTGCCGCCGGCTACTGGCCGCTGACGTCACGGGCCGCTCGGGATGGTGTCTCGCGCGGCCAGCGCGGCCGCCGGAGACCCGCACTTGCCGCCGACCCGCGCACGCCGCCATGGCCTCCGCCGTGACACAGGCTGTCAGCGCCGTCACTGAGGCCGTCACCGAGGCCGTCACCGAGGCCGTGACGACCGTGACGTCCGCGCTACCCTCGGTGGCGCCGGACGTCACATCCGATGTCGTTCCGTACGACCCGAGCCTCGTCTGGCTGGTGGTGACATCGTTCCTTGTGGCGTTCACCCTTGCCTTCGGCATCGGCGCCAACGATGTGGCCAACGTGTTCGGCACGAGCGTGGGCGCCAAGGCCATCACGCTGCGGAACGCGTGCATCATAGCGACCATCGGAGAGATGCTGGGGGCGATGCTGATCGGTGAGTGCCGGGGGTTGCTCAGGTGTCCCCTCCCCGTCTTCTGTTCCAGGTGGCCAGAGCGGGCCCAGCCTACAGAACCCAGCCCAGGCTAGAGCCAAGCCGTCTTCAGCGTCACCAGCCGACAATCGTCCTCAGAAGATCTCATCTCCGCGAGATCGCTGCAGCCACACCTCAGCGCTGATCTGGGGGAAGGCGGTGGGGGACTGCCTAAGGACCTGACGATGCAGAGCTGTGCCGTGACCACCGAGACCCGCCCGCTGCAGCAGACCGCGAGTCTCTGATATACCCTGCGCCGCCAGCGGTCACCTGTAGCTGAACGCCGAGCCCGGCCCGCCGTCTGTCTGTCTCTCCCCGCACCTGTCTCTGAAGTCGCCGCCATGGAGCCGTGGTCGTCCGAGGTGATCTGGATCGTCGTCGTCGCCTTCATCGTCTCGTTCCTGCTGGCGTTCGGTGTCGGTGCCAACGATGTGGCCAACAGCTTCGGCACGTCGGTGGGCTCGCGGGCGCTTTCCCTGAGGACGGCCTGCATCCTGGCGACAATTTTCGAAGTGGCCGGCGCCATACTAATAGGTCAGTCGGTCCCCGCGGGTCAGACCTTCTGACCAGGCAGTTGGAGGATACTGCGTGAGTATTAGAGAATGAAGACCGTGACTAATGGCAATAGACAGCTGCACTTAGGGGCCGTCGTAAAGGTCAGTTTGTTTTTAGCACGGACGTGAGGTAGCTTAATGGTGGCCTTTTTGTCAGATCAGTGAACTTGGGACCATTGCTCAAAGAGCAGGCGTTGCTTAGCGTTGCAGTCCTTCAAATTGATCGGTAAAGTGATACGTTCGGGACAGACATGCGTCTTTATTTTTGTATTTGATTGTATTGTATTTACGATCGTGGGCGATCCACACATGGCGTGGCGATTACTGCCCCCTGATATTATTGTTTTCGATTTCTTCACAACTCCTTCTGCTGAAGTGTTAACTGTTTTTGAAAATTGCATCACATTAATTTCCAAGTCTTGAGAATTTTCATCTTATTAGGCGTGCCAAATCAAACCGTCGCTTATGGTGAATAGGCCTAAATATGCCTAAATGTAATGATGGCCTAAATAATTTACCATCCAGTCCAATTTACTATGGCTGTAGTGATCTCCGACCCGAATTGCCCGAACCAATTAGGCGCCGTATAAGCCGAGGGCCGCGCCTCTGGGCCGAAAGCCGGGGACCTCGTGCTGGATTCCCAAGTTCCCATAAACCTGTGAAAGACCCAGCAGACTCCGAGCCCGGAACGTGACTAGCTTCTCGGTAAGTGCGGACCGTTTACATGGACTTCTGAAAGCTATCTTCATAACCTGCCCGAATGTCGGATTCTCGTCAAGGTCCAGCTCGGTAAACTATTTTCGATTTACCAGCGTTAGGAATTGCACACAATTTGCGTCATTTTGTTCTTCTCTGCCACGTGTAACTGAGCACATGTTGCATTCCCGTGTGAAGCCTTCTTCCCTGTTTATGAATCAGTGAGGTCATGGGCGGTGTAGTCCAGAGTACAACATGACTGCCACGGGTTTGAGAGCATCAGCGCTAAGGCTGGACAAACTGGGTCTGCCCGTACCCAAAGGCTCTGCGTGGGTTATTCAAAGAAATGCTCACGATTTGGATGCCAAAGCGTTCAAATCAAAACGAAAGCCTTTTTTCTTCACTTTGCTTGTTGTCACCTTTATGAGTTGGGCTCTGGTAAAAAGAAAAAAGTATATGAATATGCGAAACACAATTTGATTGCATAATTCGACCCCTAAGCTCCGATTCCAATAAGTATGTACATTTCAAATATCTGAGTCTGCTGATACACAAATTCAGTTCTTTAAAACGCCTGTAGCCTCTGGTTTATGTCGAAGTCAATGTCGTGCTACGCTGGAAAGCTTCTGTTGATATAAACTACTATGGACGTCAAACCCCTTGAGACCCCACTTTTTTGCGATAATTTTTAAATGTGTCAACTCTCGTTGACAATATTCTGGCAATGTGTGTTTCAGAACCTGCCGAAACTTTTATTACTAAGGTATTTTGACGCCAAACGATTATGAAAAGTACTTCTCATTCACTCGTAATGCTAAGGTCAATTCAGGCCCAGGCAGAGGCTTGCGCTCGGCCCCACTCGAGCCCCACCACCAGCGCCATCTGCTCTTAATGTCATCTACCAGCGCCCGCTACCGCTACCAGCTACCGCCCACCATCAAGCCTCATGAATGGAGCGAGAGACGCGAGTGACCGGTCGCCGGGGAAGGAGCGCCGGAGGGGTAGGGCGGAGCTTAGCGCTGACGTCATTACGTGGCTCCGCCCCATGAGCGCGTAGCCTCTACCCAAACAGCAGATTCGTTCCGTGAAATTTAACATTACGAGTGAATGAGAAGTACCTTTCATAATCGTTTGGCGTCAAAATACCTTGGTAATAAAAGTTTCGGCAGGTTCTGAAACACACATTGCCAGAATATTGTCAACGAGAGTTGACGCATTTAAAAATTATCGCAAAAAGTGGGGTCTCAAGGGGTTTGACGTCCATAGTAGTGTCGACATGCATGCGCCGCTCATGCTTAGAGAGATGTTCATCCCGTTTTGAAACCTGATCTTGGATTTCAGCGTGATCGATTGATTCTCTTATGTCATAACGATTTTGAAATTGTTTGATTTTGTTTTTGAACCCTCCTAAAACCTTATGAATTTAAGAAAAAAATGTATGGCTTAATTTTATATGAAACCTTAACACGCGCAGTGGAAGGGGGGGACGGATTTCGCCCACCCCTCCTGTTTTTCGCCAATAACTCGCGCCACAAACACAATATTAATGTGAAATTTCGGCTACCTGCCCAGAATTGAATTGCGGATCTTCTCGTGCAAGAAATAAGAAAATCGGTTCACAACTTTTCTAGTAAGAGCGATGTAAAGTCAAACATCCTGCCGCCGCGGCGGCGCGGCGCACAGTGTGGCCAAACACCAGTTTAGCGCGAATTAAATCCCAGCGCTGCTCGGATCCGTTGAAAATGGTTCCCTGGTTTCAAAGTTAACACTTAAACCTATGTGAGACCTTTTACGATGCATTATAAATGCTTGCTGACAAATAATGGCATAGTTCCGCCTCTAAAAGTAAGGAGAACTAGCTTACGACGGGTGATGTGCTTACCAGGCCAGGGCTGTGAAGTCGATGGAGTTACTCCGACTCCGACTACGGCTTTCTAAAGTCAATTTCAACTCTGACTCCGGGCAAAACTGTCGACTTATACGATCGACTCGGACTCTGACTCCGCAGCCATGGCAAGTCCACGCAGTCGATGGATTTTCGGTGACTCAGACTACGAGTCTTGGTCCGGATTCCAAAATCGATTCCGATTCCGACTCTGACTGCAGGGTCAGAACAATCAACATCTAATTATGTTTCTGTGTGAATGTTCCTGGTGAAGCACATGAATCGGTAGATGGTTGTTGAAATACACGCACCGATAAAACTGAACCTCAGCAATGGGAGTAAAAACAAAGACTTACACCATAAGCACCTTCATGTCACTAACCCTCGCCCGTATTGGTGTTTTGCTAGCCGCGAACGTAGGTCGGGTCAGGTCAGGTCAGGCCAACCAGTCCTGCCGGGTATTCATAATTAATAGGTGTCAACCGCCAGTGACAGCTTCGTTGCATGTTACGAAGGCACCAAAACTTCTTCCTAAATGTTCAAATGGTTACTAAATTCGAAATCAGCTCCAAAAACTAGCCTGGAAGCATGTAAAACTAAAAAAGGTGAACCAAAGTCATCAAAGGTCATTGAACTGACCTGACCTTTAAGTGATCTTGACACCGACCATATGCATGGGACCAACATCATAATATCACATGTTTAGACGCTTGAAACCACGAAAAGACTGCAAACGCGCGGCTAATGCAAGCAAACATACGCCCAATCGCGCTTCCGGCCAAACATGGTCTCGAGAAATAGGTCACAGGTCAAAGGTCATTGGGGTCAGGGTCGTGAAATTTAATGGGTAGGTGTAAAATTGATAAACTCGAGGGTACTAAAAGTTTCGTCGCGATCGGCCGCTTTTTACATGAGCTTTTTGCGAGAAACCGAGAGGGGTCCTTTCCACCCCCACCCTCACCCCCTATATGGGCGAGGGTTGAAAAATTGTCAAGATTTATTCATTGGCGACCGTATTTTGCAATATAACAAGTCAGAAATACAGCGTTTGAGCCATCCGCGTAACGTTACGGAGCCGCCGCCCCGCCCACCCTGTAGCCGGACCTCCCCGGGCGGGCCAACCCGATACGTTCAAAGCTGAGCCAAAGGCCGGGGGGCAAGTTGGGGCAGGGTTTCTTGAATGGGTCATGTCCAGAAAAGTGTGGCGAATCTTCTCATGGTAGATTTGACGTGGAGTTTTTTGGCCATTTTCTTATATCTCTACGTTTTTAAGATGGACAGTGTTTTCAGGGGATGTTTGAAAAGGTCATTTTCAAATGAGCATAACTCATCGGTTAGTCCAAGGATACCTATAGAATTCGGGTATACTATCAAATATAGGCTCCGTAGTCATATGCCACTCCAATTATTTCCAAACCTTTCCGACAATTACGCCAAAATGTGTTGTAAACATGACGCGGGTTTTCGACGATTTCAGCACAGCCGGGACCGGCATTGCGTATGTCCACTTTAGCTAGCTTTTTGGACACCGAAAGGAAGACATTGAACCAAAGTATTGTGATATTTACATACTTTGGACAATTTCCTATCGACTGATAGTTATAAAAAGTCAAAATTCCAAAATTCGTTTTTTGATTAAATTCGCGCTAATCTGGCGTTTGGCCACACTGTGCGGCGGCGCGGCGGCCGGCGCTAGCCGTTACGCGCCGCCTGAATTGTAGACTGTGCCGGGGCGGGACGGTTCCGTCTTTACATCGCGCTCCTTACCGCTGATTACATTAGATTCGCGTCAAATTTGGTGAGAAGACTGAGAAATGTACAGGGAATCATATGGTCAAAGAATTTTGAAAATCGGCCGGTAACAACTTGAGTTATGAGTGTGTAAACACAAAATTGTGATTGCCGCGTTTCCCGCGTCGGCCGATCCCGCCTCAGCGGGCGACATCTTACCCTTAGCAGGCTTCTATCTGCCATATTTATTGTTGAATTAACTAGAAATTCACCTTACTTACTCACAAATGTTTAGTCTTTCCTATAGTGAAAGAAAAAGAAAATCGGCCGGTAACTTTTTGAGTTATCGGCGTGTAAACGCAAAAAAGTCGCTCATATGGCAGATTTGACCACATTTGACCTTATTTGACCTTGAAGATATTGACCTAGGGTCATGAAATTCACACACAACAGAGTTCCCCATGGCCCCCACCTACCCTCCAAATTTCGTCTTTCTAGCTCCAGTGGGAGCTGAGATCTTAGGGGGGGGGGGCGACATCCGCCCCCCCCCCCCCTTCCACTGGGCGTAGTACTGGCAACCCTTCCACTGCGCGTGTTAAGGAGCGCTTGGCAAAAAAAAAAAAAAACGGGAAAACGTTGCCCCACAACCCCAGGTGAACTCTGCCTTAGTTCACCGCTGACATTCCATCGTAAATCGGCCGTACCGACGTTGAACGTAAGGAGACCGGCTGCGGTGTCGGGCGGATGCGTCTGTTGGCTGGCGCCCAGCCGGGTAGGGGAGCTGTGTCGTACCCCGTCACCTCCAGCTCCCAGTCTCCCGATCGTTTGTTCTAACCACAGCGGCGACCTTCTGTCGCCCCAGGCGGTAGGCACGGGTCAGGTTAGAAGGCACGGTGAAAGGCGGCGCCATAAAACTGGCGCTAAGTGGCATGCGCCAGATTGTCTTTGTATGTGAGATTGTATGGCGTGGTATTGTTTTTCTTTTTGTTTTAACGATTGATAGCAATTCTATTGGGTTTTTCTTTTTAGTTACGGATGGCAATTTGTAAACTGTTGTTATTTGGTGATTGATTTATCAATGACTTGAATTTTATTGCTTGCGTGTGTGTCAAATACCTTTAAATTCATTCAAGCTGGTGCTAATGTGTTGACCTTGAATTTTTTCTAGAAATGGATGCCGTCTCACTTGTACACTAAATAGACTGTTTTGGTTCCATAGCCATCTTAGTAATTTACCTTGGCGTGACCTTCCCGGTCGTTTGAGCTCCAATTAGCATAGTTCCCGTCAATAAAAGTTTCCGAGTGCTCTCTCGGTCGATGTGTTTCTAACCTGTTTGTCTGTCCTCAGGGTACAAAGTGTCGGAAACAATGAGGAAAGGAATCCTGGACGTCGGCCTGTACCAGAACAACGAGAAGGAACTGATGCTGGGCTCACTGGCCGCCCTAGGTAAGTCGTTTGTGCGACGCTACATTGCGGACGATCTTTTGAAGTTACCGATGAATGGGCTTGATGTAGCTCATAGGAAATTTATCTGCGTTTGTCCGAGATTTGCTATTTGGTCTGTCTGTCCCACGGTAAGATGAATAAGAAGTAAGAACGACTACGATGCAGCACTTAATAAGCTTACAAAGTTAGAGTTGCGTATTTTCCAACATCCAAGGGCGAAGAGCACCCATGGCATCGGCGCTGTCTCCTGTCAGTGTCGAGCTAACGAACCCCGGATACGGGGGGCGGCACGGACACGGTGGGAGTAACCCTTCAGCCCCTCCTCTGCCCCCCCCCCCCCGTACCCCGCCGCGTCTGCAGCCGGGGTTCTATCGGCAGAGCGTTCTGTTTACATGCAACATTGCACCCGGGCACACCTGCCATTCATCTGGTCTCGCCAGCGCCCGCTCTGTATATCCAGACCCCTTCTGGAGGACATATTCGGTTTCTCCGCGGCGTGTGGTGTGAGATAGGCTGTCGCACAGGCGCCGGGAGCGGTGCCAGGCGCCGTGTCAATAACAACTGAACTGCGCCGCCGCGCTGGTGGACGGTGGTGACGTCACTGGTGGACTGTCGTGACGTCACTGGTGGACAGTGGGTAGTGGGTGTGACGTCACTAGTGGGTGGCGGGTATCGGGTGTCCCCCGCCCCGCAGAGCGCATTGAGATATAGGGACTGGGGAGGGGTTTCAAGATACCTTTCGGATAATAGAAGCTCACGCAGCGCAAAACCATTCGTTCATGAACACTTATTGTCGCTCTTTGGTTTACGACTTCCAATCCCCGTTTCTTTTCTTTTTCCTTTTTTACTCGTTCGTTAGTGATTTCGTAACGTACTCTAAGTTTTTTTTTTAGTAGGTACCTTACATTGGGATTTCTTGCTTGACAAATTAAATTGCTTTTCGAATCTTTTTGGACCGACAAATATTTTAAGGAAATCTTCAACAGTCGACGTGGCCGCAGTTAATCGCTATACGTCACCACGCGGTGACAAACGTCACCAATTAGGAACTATACCTAGTTTTGCTTTTCCCAGAGCTGCCTGATCCGATCAGCTCTGGTTCATCGGCATGCGTCGGCATGGGGTCTGTCAGATTTGACAGGACACTGCTGGAAAAATCCAGTCTGCACAATGTTCTTATATAAACGCGCTACTGGCGTTGACAGAACCAACCTGATGCCTGTTTTATTGATAATACATATTGTTCACACGCTTCACTTGTGGGTTATGCGTTTTTCCACCCGCGGGGCCCATAGGCGGCGGAACGGGGAGGGCACCGGGGCACCGTGCCCCCTTTGATTTTGGCATTTTAACATTATCCCTATGGGCGTTGCATGGAAAGAATGGGACCAAAAGTCGGCAGTGCCCCCCCCCCCCCCACACACACACACACTTAATTGAAGGTGCTCCGCTGCTACTGGCGGGGCCGGGTAGAGCTTGGCTGAATGTGATTGAATGCTCCGATAAAATATTTAGCGAACATCTTATCTGCAAACATATGCATGCATGTGTGCAGAAATATGTATAGGTATTGTTCGTAGTGGACAGATTTCCCGAAGTCTTCTTGCGATGTCCGGCTTCTACCAGAATTACACGTAATCGGTCCTTCGATTTCTATAACCAGCTTAATGGACATGCGTCCCGCGTCCTTCCTGATTAGGCCGTCCAAGATTAGCCTTCCGGTGACCTGCGTGCGAGTGTTAGCTCTTCTGTTAGCAGGAGTCCATATTGGTGTAGGTAGTTACCATTCGTCACAGGAAGAACAGAGCACAAAGAATCACACATGTCTACGCATAACCACACATTTTGTGGCTGGCCGGACCAGAAGGCTGGTAATATCGCTATTTCACTCCATTTTGGCTTTGCTCGAGGTTGAAGGTTATTCTCCGCCTTAGCTTACTCGAGGGCAGCGCTTTTCGAGGAACGCTGCGGCCCGAAGGTTGGGACTTTGAATTGTGAAAAACGCCCGCCCGCCGCAAAACGCAAACACCGTAAAACGCGCAAAATGCACGCCCGAAATGCCAATGCAAACGTCGCAAAGAAATCAACGAACGCCCGCCCGCCGCAAACCGCAAAAAAAGCTGCAAAAAAACGCCCGCATCGCACGCCCGCTAACCGCCAACCGAAAACGCCTAAAAATCGCCCTCCCGCCACCAAAAGCAAACCACGCAAAAAAAAAACGAAAAGCGGCCGCCAACCGCAAACAAATTTATCACCGCAAACGACGCAAAAAAGAAAACCGCCCGCATCGTGTTAGCTTATTTGAATATCACATTCACATCTAAACAGCGAGGTGTGTAATGATGTTCCTGTAATGATGTTCCTGGCCCAGCCAAGGCAGGATGACAACAAGAAGCCTCAAAGCTTTTGAATCGACCTTGTGTAGCTCCACCATTCATCAAGAATAACGGCTGGTTATGAGGGCTTTTTACACTACGCTAATCGCCTCACGGAGTTTCTTCTTTCACGGTCGTCTTTCATCAAAACCGGTTGGTAACAAGATGACGGTAAAACATACAACTCATTGTCGTTGAAGTCGGTCGCTATGCAATTACCGAACCGCCAGAGGCGAGCGCCAGCAACCCATGGTAACCGTTGCTCCACATAACACACGCTTACTGACCCGAGCCTTTTGTTGTCGGACACCCTTATTCATTGTCCGTCGCTACACCTGTCCGCTCCCACCACTCACCATTTCTATAAGCGGCGAGCGCAGCGGAATAGGTGGTCCCCCCCTGCGTCACCCCATTCGGCGCCTCTGACCTCCACCTGCCAGCCGGCCCGGGGCGCGGCATCCAGTGCCGTCATCGGCCGTCCCCTGGCGGCCGTCAGCCGCCGGTCTCGTGTTCTGGCGGTGGTCCGTCACCGGTCTCGTGCTCCTCACACCGGCTCCAACTCGGTGTCACGTGGACAGACACACCTGGCGCAGGGCGGAAGGTGTTTCAGGCTCCTGGCTGGGAGTTTGAATTGCTAGCCTCGTGCTCACTCGAAATCTACAGCGCGGAAGTCTGGGATAGTCTAAAGGTCAACATCTGATATTTGCGTCAGTTTGACCCGTTCTCTGAGTTCAGAGGAATGCGGGGACGCTCTTATTCCTTAGTCTCGCTCAGATCTCGTGTGTGGAGTGGGCCGCTACTTCGTTATCACTTACAGATCACTGGCCGATCAGAGTACGGGTCATCCTTATTGACATTCTGGCCAGAAACCTGGGGCGTTTGATCGGCCGGGCGATGGTAGGGCTCGACGCGAGGGAAGGGGATAGAGACAGCTGGCTGGGACTGGGAAACAAATCGACGCCCACGAAACATCCCGACTTACACGCTAATTCCATTATAGAAGTGCGCGATTCTAGGAATTAGCACTTACAATGAAGGCGCTGGTGAGAGCTGAAAAAGGCTTGACGTGTTTCTTATGGGTATTTATTGTGAGGTAGGTGTTACGGAATTCGTTGTCACCAGATTTACTTAAAAGGCCCAGGGTTTAGTGTATCGTGCTCCATTTTTGTTAACTGATAAGTGAAGACAATAGCTGATTGCTTAAATTTATTGTTTTGCTAGATAAAATGTGTGTTTCATGATAATCAAATATAAAAAGGCTTGAGTAATTGGGAAAACTACTCGCTCGTGCAACTGCACTGGAAATCTCCAACTGACCAATGAGCATGCTCGGATATTTGAGCCGCTGAATGGCCTCTGCTAATTGACTAATGTGCACCGTCACGTAGTAATTGATTCGAACAAGTTATTAGTTGTTTAAGCGTAGGGGAGAGTGGGGTGGGTTGTATCAGTTTTTACTCCGAGACCCATAAACTCGTAACTATCCGTGATAAACTCATTATTTCCATACTGTCCCCTACCTTGATTCTTCTGCTTTTTTGTGCAAAGTAACTTTTCCGCTACCTCTACCAGTTTTTCTTCTACGGTCTGCCGAATAGAACAATGTTTTTGATACAGCTTGCCCCATGGCTTGGGTGAGTTGTATCACATGGTGGGGTAATTTGTATCACTATTTCACGTTTCAGGGAGTGTGCTTGCTACTGGTTTTGAACATAACAGCAACATTAAATGGGGTTGATACAATGTATAGGTATGCTCAAAGGCTTCACTTTATTAGACCAAACTTAGGTCAATGCAATCCGAACGAAACATCAACAGACTAGACGCAAAAGTGGCCCGTTAAGAGCAAAGAAGCCAACACATTGTGCCGAAATGGAACGAGCATTGACTAGCTACCTACAAACGCGAGCCAGGGCTTAGCTTTCGCGATCAAAAGCAACATACCCATACATACATACATACATACATACATGTTACAACATACCCCACCCGGCTCTGATACAACATGTACCTAGCCGCCATCTTGGAAAGACATCCTTGTGCTAAAAAAAACAGCGGACAGCTGGAGAAATCCGTTTTCACTCACGCAGCCTTAGAACCTACCCTCACCACCGCTACGGAGATCTTTCAAATTCGTGCACATCTAAATGCCCAAAACACACATTTTCTTGCAACTTATTTTTTTTAGAATGACATTAAAAAAAAACATAGAATCGGCTCTCACCTCGAGACGCGTCCACTCAGCCACAAGACAGAACAGGGAAAGATGGCGCCCGGAAAACCTCGTCGGCTGGTCGTGTCGCGAGCGCCATCCATTGGATAAGTTTGGCACAATTCGCCCTGATACAACTTGGACATGATACAACTCTCCCCGCTCTCCCCTATTGTTTGAAATGCATCCAGGCAACACGCCCGCCTCGAATGACAGCCACATCTGATCCCCGGTAATTGTGATCTGTTTCTTGTCTTTGATTAGGGTATTTGACTGCATTTCGCATCTTGCATAAGCTCCGATGTGTCATTAGGTTTGATCGGTGCCGTAAATTTCCCCACATCGTGTCTCCAATGCAGCTCATGTGACCTGCCTGCTGTGTTTGATAAAGTGCAGGCTTCCCGAACCCGTGG